ATTGTTTTATTGTATAAAGGCAAAATCACAAAAACTCTGTCATTGTCCAAATACATCTGGACATAACTGTGTATGTATGTCTCTCTCTCTCTCTCTCTCTCTCTCTCTCTCTCTATATATATATATATATATATATATATATATATATATACAGTTATGTATGTATGTATGTATGTATGTATGTCAAAGATTAATTATAATAGGATCCCATTGAAAATCTAAATGTGGTTTGAAACTCAGATCTTAAAATATATGTGATAAAGAATGTCACACATTATTTTCTTTTCTATTTCCTCAAGGGATTGTTTTAATTTGACACACAAACATACAAGCATACAAGCGAATCCCGCAGTTTAAATGAGTAAAGTAATGTCACGCACACCATTTTTATTTACCATTTTATTTTTTTCCCAAAAACGGATGGCTCCCACGAAGGAACATATAACTGAGAAGACGCCGAGTTTAAATTTCAAGTTGAGGAGCGTTTTTCGTGGTTTTTACCGGTTGTAGGCGGGGAATTACAAGTTGCGACTTCTGCGCCTTCTTCTTCTTCTTTGAGTTTTCCTGGTGGATTGCGAACCGACTAAACAGGTGCATACCGCCACCTACTGTGCTGGAGTATGACAAGGCCGAAGTCTTAAAATATATTGTTTCCCTGTAATCTATGCTTAATGGCACTATTCTTAATGAATTTCAAAACTGTTTTAATAATTTTACCATTACCTGATCTAGCATTCCATAAATCATCTACTGTATTCCGAACATCCTTCTGCTTGTAATTCTCTTATAAATTCAATTCTTTCTTGTTTATATTTGCTACAATTTACTAAAACATGTTCAACAGGTTCCTCTTTCTGACAAATGCCACATAAACCTGTATAATGTTTGCCCATTATGTGAAGTGTTGCGTTAAGTGTGTTATGACCCATTCTTAACCAAGTTAGCATATGACATTATCTCTACGTAAGTTATGAATAATATTATGTTGTCTCATTTTGCTTTGTATTTTATAGAAATGTCAGTCTGACTTACCTCCTAATTTTTCTGCCATTTGTTATAGCAGGCTTCTAAAATTAAATGATTTCTTTCTGCTCTGCTTAAATCAACTGTAATATTTACATTATCTAGTTTAAGTGCTTCCTTAGCCATTTCATCTGCTTTCTCATTTCATAATATCCCAACATGTGCTGGAGTCCAAATAAAATGTACTGAAATTCCTATTTGTCTTAATCTGTATAAACTGACCAATATTTCTATTAAAATAAAACAGACTGTTAAGTTTGTAAGCTGAGAAGAGATGCCATTGAGCCTGAGAAGTTTACTACTTTATCTGGCAACACTTCCTCCACCCATTCAAGTGCCATCTGGATAGCAACCAACTCTGCAGTATACCCTGATGTTCAATCAGTTAACCTTGCAAAGTTTCCTATGTTAAATTCAGGGACATAAAATGCTGCAGCTGTTTGTCCTGTATCTGGAATTTTTGATCCATCAGTAAATACAGGAAGATATGCATAGTGGGAAGTTACAGTGTGCTCCATTGCAAAAGACTTCAGAATTTCATTCCCACTATCTCCTTTTTAATACACTCATGCAAGTTAAGGTCAATTACCGGCTGACTAAATAAACAAAGAGATACTGGGATATTACAACTGGAGGTCAAAAACTTTTAGGATCTAATGACATTTCTGCCGCCCATTCTTGGCTTTCCATGCAAATCCTGATCGTCTTAAATTAATGGTTTCCCAACTCTCTTGTACTACTTTACTTGTGATATGTCCCTTACGTCCCTTTAAATTTATCCAATATGCCATGGATAATTTCTGACGCATAATATTTAATGGCATTGCTGCTAGTTCAACCTGCAGTGCTGCTACTTGAGTTGTTTTGATGGCTCCTGTGATACACCTTAATGCTATGGCTTGAATAATATCCAGTTTTTTAAGTAAGGATTTCGATGCAGACCCATACACAATACACCCATAATCTAAAACAGATCGTATAAGTGCATAATATATGCCCATCAGTGACTGTCTAAGGGTCATTCCTACTATTCAGTGCCATTTCGGGGTGGTAACTTTAAAAAAATGCCAAATTTTCAATGATTTGATCATTTCATCTGAAGAAGGGCTGATTAAACTACAGGAAAAACATATTGGTCCAGCTAAGGATATTATGATGTAATAATTTTTACCAAATTTTTCAGATAGGCCAAATGTCCCCCCTGTTGCTTTACATTCTCATTTCTTTTAATAAGTGTTTAGAATAAATAGTTGCAGTAAAATTTACATTTTCTAAGTGCTAAAATATCCCTCCAACTGTATTTTAGTAAAGCATTAATAAACAAGCATTATCTAAAAAAAGACGTTATGTTTTATGACACGATGTAATTTTAACGCATTTCATTTAGAATAAAAAGGGATGTCAATACAATTAAGCCCCATTTTTAAGTGATTTCATTTCGTCAATTCACTCCTTGCAAGTAACCAGAAATATATGCATAATATTTGTTTATTTTATTTAATTAATATTTTAAAAAAAAACTAAACAGTGAACAGGGTGGACAGAGGAGAAACAGGGTGGACACAATGTAACAGGATGGACATCACAACAGTAAACAACAAAAATATTTCATTATAGAAAGGTAATTCATGTACCCCAACCTCACTCCACCTTCAACAATAAAATGTACAGAACACCCAAAGGAAATATCAGGAACAGATTTCAATGTCTGATCTCAGACATCACATCAGCAGTGAACAACAACACATCTCTGTAAAGAACGGCAACTCCTTTTACCCTTTAAACCCCATCTTCAACAACCAAATGTACTAAGAATCCAAAAGAAATACCAGGAACATTTTTCAATGTCTTATCTCAGACATCACATCAGCAGAGAACAACAATTTCAGAAAAGAAAGCCAGCTCATTTAGCCCCCAGTTTCAACCACTGAGCGCTGAAAAGAAATTTTTCAGTCTCAGATGCCACACATGTTTCAGCAGTAAACTATGTAACAAACCAGGAACTAGGTGTTTTCAAAGGAAATTCCACACTATCTTCTCTAGCTGGATGAACCTCCTATTTAAAGCTTGTGGTTCTTTCATCAGACATACAATTTGATCATCCCTATACCAGCTAATGACCTCTCCTGGACTTGGCCAATAGAACTTGTTTGTCCCATTCTTATGCATGCATTTCACTCTTATATCTTCTTCAACCTCCAGGATGATTCCTGGGTAGGGTTCATCATTGTAGTTAACAATGCACCACTGCCCAATGTTTTCTTTCATAATGACTTCAGGCCGTGATGGTTCTTCAGTGGAATGCGGGCTTGCTTGTTCTCCCAGGCTAACCTGTTTCAGCCCATAGCATGCACAGTTGAGAACACCTTTGTCTGCCTGGCAAAGACAAGTTATGTCACAGTATTTAATTGTCCCTGGAGAGATACTAATGACTTGATGGATTTTCATTGTTCCTTTGACAGGCACAAGCTGGGGTGCATCCATCATTTCCTGCACTTTTCTATGAACATCTCCCTCTCCAACAAGAAAAAGTTCCACTGAAGTTCCCATCTTCCTTAGCTTGTGGAACATGGCCTCTGCATTGGGAATATCTCCTCCATGCTGGACAATTGTGTCAGCTGATCCACCAACACCATCTGGAGCCCCCTTTCCATGGCTGGCCTCAAAGAAGTGCCAGCTAATATCTTTGAAGCCTTTCTTGAAAGGTTCTTTTGATAGAAAGTAATAGTTGCCCTTCTGTTTGTACTGAGTAGCTGGGCCATCACTGAACGGCGCCATTCCCTAACAAATACATTCATATTGTTTAAACTAATCTTCTTTAAAAGTATAAAACAAATAAATACACAACAAATTAATAAGAAATACCAATACCATATATACAGTACAATTGTTACTAAGCAAAACAGTGACAGGATGGACAGTAACAGGAGTGACATTTTATGCTAAATTCAGCCATTACTACTCATGTGATGAACAACAGGCTAGCACCTAGTGATGACAGAGAAAGATTATTAACATGATTATTAACAATATTTGTCAAAATTACAAAAAAGTATCGTTTCCTCTATAAATAAGCGTAGCAGAGGGGCTATGTTATGCTTTACCGCATCAGTGCACTATTCTAAAATGCAGAAAAAAAGGTTGATGAAAGAGTGAAACTTACTCTGATTCTTGTAGATGATTTCCCTCCAAAATTGTATACTACTTCCCGAGAGTCATGTGACTAGAGGAACATCCAGGGAGCATGTTCAGAGGGATTTCCATCAGGGTAACAGGGGACAGTCAACTGAGGGACGCAACTTAATTTAAAGCCTTTAAGCATTAAAAATGTATTAATAACTAAAAACAACATTTGGGGAGGAATATTATAAATATGGCTGTACAACAATAATGAGAAATGTAGAGTTTGTTTGATTTTCTTAGTTATATTTGTAACTGAAGTTGAGCATACATGATCGGGGACATGGCAGTTTAGCCTACTTGCACTAAAATCAGGGTCATTATTTTAAATTAAATATAATTCTAGGTACATATCATTATGTTCCATGATGGAGGGGGGTTAATCATATAAGACAAGCTTAAAGAAATTAGTATAATCCCTTTTTTTAAAAATAAAATATACCATATTATGTCTTGGGGACTCAAATGACACTGAATAGTAGGAATGACCCCTATCTGTACCCCGTACCTGTCCTTCTACACATTAAGTTATGAACCTTGTTGCATTTCCTTTCAATATATTTCCACATCGGTTTATAATCTATCCATCCATCTTTGAACTTTGTCATTCTTTCCAGTAGATGTTTATACATAAGCAACTGAACATTTTGTCCTGTTTTCCTCCTTGAAGAGAACTGAAACCCCATTCTCATCACATTTACAGCATTTGGCAGACACCCTTATCCAGAGCAACTTACAGTTATCTCATTTATACATCTGAGCAGTTGAGGGCCTTGCTCAAGGGCCCTGCGGTAGCCTGCTGGTGCTGGGATTTGAACTCATGACCTTCCGAGCAAAAGTCCGCTGTCTTAACCACTGAGCTACTACTTCCCTTCAGTTCACGTTACCACATCACCACTGCTCAACATTGCCTATTGACTCCTCGATTTTTACATCTAATGAAAGAGACATTTCCCCCCGTTTCCATGTCGCGACTTCGCCTCGAACGCAGCGTTAGAAATCTCTGTCAAAAGCAAAGCGAAACCGCGTCACTGCCTGTTAAGCGCGTAGCCGATAGCTGGCCGCGCCCACTTGCCTACAAACACCCGGGTCAAGATGGCGACGTCGACAAAGCTAGAACAGCAACACTCAAACACTTTTTTAGCAGCTGTTTTGGCCATATTACAACTTACACTTTGTACATGCTCTTCATCACCCATTCGTGAGTTATTCTTTTGTGTATTTTTTATTGAGCTTAATTTTTGTGAATTAATTAGGAATGCAACGTCATAATGCTCGGAGACCTGGATATGTGGCAGCCCCAGAGGTCTTTACACAGCTTGCTTTACGTAGCTAACCTGCCTGGTTACAGATGTAGCAGTCTGAATTTCAGTATGTCACTGTGGGCAAACAGTACCTTGTAATATTAGCGAGCCAGCTGTTTAGCGAATCTAGCAGCGGTGGCCTAAAAGGCAGTCATAATTAGAGCTATTTGTACTTTTAAGTAATGTGCGCCGTTGGCTGGAAACATTTGGCCATTACAAACTAGCATACGAATAAAAATTCGTATTGTTCACATCATGCCTAGAATATCAAGCCATATCAAATATCAGCCAATCAGGTATGCGCACTATTTCTTCTTTATGCTCTTTAGACGTTATGGTGTGACGTGCCCTACATCTTAACTTCCGCAAACTAATTTCTTCTGAGCTGACACGTCCTGTACATCTGACAAGCAAAGCAACAGAAACTTTCCCCGCGGCACGCGACGGCTGTGCTCTTCTGCTTTTATCTGAAATAAATTCCGTATCAGATTCCTTATTTGTAGTTTAAATGTTATTTGTGTTTTAACAGCGAATGATCATTAGACTGGCAGAGAAGGTTGGCAGAGTAACAAGATGTTAAATGTTAAGATGTTCCTCCTGGTTTTGTTTTGCATTAGATCATTGAACAAACAGTGAACAAAAATGCCTAATTATATTTGTTATAGCCATTCACATTTATAAGACACATTTAATCTGCTTCACTGATATTTGTTGATTGATTCACATGAATAATTGACTATTGAAATAATTTCTGCAGCCTTATTGTTCGTATTGTTCTGTGTGACAGATCCAATCTACAGAGTATTTCAGTTGATTAGCAAAATTGTAGTGATACAAATTTTGAGCTTCCAGAGCTTCCTTGGTGGTTCTCAAAATAATACAACGTGTTCATTTTTATATGGGGATATGCTATAGATAGACCTTTCTCGGGATCTTTATTTTGATGTTTTAAAATGCTGATTTCCTTAGCATATGCCAAGTTTTCAGAGATTACTACTGTTTCATGTGACTGTTCTCACTGTAATGTGTTTGCTCCAGTATAAGGTCCAATCTCCATTTTTCAAAACTTGAAACAGAGCTAGTGTTGTTTTAATCCACAAAGCAGCTCTATGTGCAGTATTTATGTTGACAGAAGTATAATAAATGATTGGATTTGTCAGTTTAAGTTGGCCACAGGGACCTCGGGCCCTTTGGTCAGTATGTAAGCTATGAGTATTGGCCCAAACCTTGGATTTATTCCTTATGCAATTCCTGTGAATGCTACTGAAAACTCATGTTTGTAGTCTGCTTCAGTCATGAGGACTTCAAGGGAGTAGATTTATTTTGTCTATAGTTTAGCCTATAGTTTAAACATGAAGCATCATGTTATCTCTACTGTCATGAATTCTTGATTATAACAGACTACTTGATTATAAACAATCCTCAATGAAAAATTCACGTAATCAAATATTCATCAAATGACTCTCCCGAAGGGAGAATGCTGCCATTCTTCTCTATATTCTGTCTATATTCTCTATATTCTGTCTATATTCTGTCTCAAACATGCATAGTTGGATGTCACTGTTTAACACTAACTCAAAAAAATCCTTATCTGTTAAGTTAGTTTGTTTTATCATTCGCTTGAGTAATCCATTTGCTCCATTGCAGTAATTTATTTACAAAGAAAAGGCATTGCTTATTATGAGTAGCCAGCTAGCTATTTCTCTTCACTGAACATTCGCTCTCCCAGCAAAATGTCCACCATAACTTTTTGTAGGTCTTCCTCCAAGATATAGTACATAATCAGGAGGGGGTGAGCAAACAGGGAAATCTCACTACGGAGCCTGCTGCGTCATTGCTGAAAGATCTGGATAGGGATCTTTACAACAGCTGTATTGGTTAAATTTTGTATTAAATAACAATCTAGGATTATTCTTATCTTCTGTTAAGGTGGAGAAATATGCTGATCTAGCAGCACTAAGAGCCTTTATATAGTTAAGAAGGCTCTCCTTTTATGCAGTTTGGAATACTACCAATTTAGTTTAACACCATTTACTTTCTAATATTCATACAAACAAAATTTGTATGAAGAATAATTATGACTGAAGAGACTTTGTTTTTAATTTCTGAAACATGATGCAAAACAATGTGCATTGTTTGTGATTCAGAAATTAAATCTGTGAATAACTCAATAAATCATAAATCGCTATGAACATGTTTAATATTGTAAACTACAGGTTCACCATATCTTAAAGAGTAAAATAAATTAATTGATAAATTCTCACCAAAGGTTTGACTGAATAAACAAAGTGTCTGACCTGGGGACTTTGAAAATGATAGACTGAATCTTTGTAGCAAATATAGAGCTCTAAAGTTGTCTAAAATGCAGATTTCCACAGTCTTTGGTGCTACTTGAGCTAGTGATGAACTCTTTTCAACCATTATAACGTGTTCGTCTAAGTGTATAACACATATTGTGGGAATTCATAAGTGCACATCTCGCAGTCTTTCCGTGAAAGAGCATGAGCGTGACCAGCATGCTCTCAATATATTTTAACTGAATGAGTTGCTCTGATTGGGACCTCTCATGTTCAAACAGTGCAGTTACATTTGATGCATAATTAATAGAATGATGATTTCCACAACACCTACATTATATACATATATTAATTATATCTTAATGTATTCATATTATGTGAGGGGTCTGCAAGGATCAGTCAGAATATGCTAGTGGTCCACAGCTGAAATATGTTGAGAACCACTGGTCTAGAGTGTCTTTGACTCCAAGTATTTGTCGTCTGATTAAGTCCTGTGGGGTCAGGTGGTGATCAAATCAAGGTTGACAACTGTGGGAGATTTTCAATAAAACTATGTACAGTAGCTGACATGATTGTATGCTTGATGCAGTAGCATGGCGAAGTGCAGTGAGATGAGGTAATGATCTGAGATGTGACTTCTTTTTCTTTATTTAATCCAAATGTCAGTATTAAATCAAGAGTGTGAAATGAGATGAAATCTAGAAATTCAGAATATGGCCCTTGGGTCTGTAAATGCTAATTAGTAGAAATTATTGTTTAGACTTTTTTTTTTTGTGGCTATGTATGTTATGTTAGTCACAGCAGCGGCAGGTAGAACACAGACACACACAAGCAGAGAAGGCACTTAAATACCCTCAGTGGAACCTTGTATTTACAAGATGCAGGAAAGGGCAAAGAGGAATGAAGAAGGGACGAGAGGGTATGGTTGTGGTGGGAGAGCATTGTCATCTTCAGAATCTGTGAACAAAAACGAGATAGGCAGCATTAGTATGGCACCTTTTATACTCTCCATTTGACTTGAGGAGGGTGAACAGCCGGGGAATAGCGAGTCAGCCATGCTTTATTCTTGCACTCTGCCCCCAAGCCATGTGCTTCTCTGCCATCCACAACACTAAAGAGGTTGCTAAAGGGGCACTGTCCATTCAGCACCATTGCAGCAGTAGCACGAGGAGCATTCAGTGGTTCTGGTGTGTGTTGTGGCAGCCTGCCGTTACATAGTATAAAAAACTTTGAATGAGTTGAATTCATGTCCAGGTTTTTGTGTGAAACCTAGAATGTTGTTATAAATAACACGTTGTCTTTGGAGCACCACCTAGACATCCAGCAGTCCATCGACCATAACGTGCTGTAAACTACATCGCAACACCGAATTGGCTTTGCCGTGGATTCGGTAGCAATGCAGGATACATTGGTGAAAAGACATATTTATAAAGAATTTATGACCAATAACATTGTAACAACACCTAAAAGAAAACAAGCAATGATGCTGTTAGATGGTTAGAACTGCTCACCTGTTGTGATTCCTCCTGATTAGCCATGTTGAAGAGCCTTTATAACATGCGAGTTCGGTGCAGTATGTTCCCGTCCTGGTTGTAAAATAAAACGTGATCAGTTGGAGTGAGAACGTGCTATGATTGGTCAGCACAATATGGTTTTTATCCAGTTGGCTTGAATAGGCGGTGGGTGGAGTCCACATATTTGTGGATTTGTGTGCATGTCTTGATGCTAGAAATGTTTCAGAATTCACAAATGTGTGCAGCAATCCACAAATGCACAGGAAGAGATCCACAAATGCCTGCAGCAGTCCACAAATGCAAAGGAAGCGATCCACAAATGAATGCCAGACAGAGTTGTGTTAGTGATGAAAAAACATTTGTAAATATTTTTTTTATTTGCAAATCTCATTTAATTTATCTGTGAATTTAATTAATTTTTGTGAAACTCTTAACATTTGTGGATTTCTTTCTATTTATTTGTGAATTTATTTAATCTTTTTGAATCACTCTACATTTGTGGATTGTAATCTGTTTTATTTAAATATGAAACAATACTGACCCCATAGTTAGACAGCTGAAGAAGGAAAAATTTCACCTTCCAGCACAATACCAACCCAAAGAAATTCAATTCAATTTTATTTCTATAGTGATTTTAACAATGGACATTGTCACAAAGCGGCTTTACAGAAATAAAAGATTCAAATTAAATTAAACCAAAATAAATTGTATGTGAATTTATCCCTAATGAGCAAGCCAGAAGCAACGGTGGCAAG